TTTTTTTTTTAGCTCTAGTCTACTAAGGGACTACCAATAGATTTAAGCAAATTGGTGTGTGTGTGTGTTCCCACTGACCGGCTTGTCTTTGATGGTGGGGCTGGACACGCAGAGGTACAGCTTGCCATCCTCCTCGATGCAGGCATCGATCAAAGCCTGCACTGAGCTCTCGTCCTGGAACAGCAGGAAGGCATAGCCTGCACAGAACACAAGAGGGTTATTCTCGCTGCTGGGGCCGCAGAGTACTGACAGAGGATTGTGCAGGAATTTAGTTTGCTGATTACTGTGAAAGCATGTCTGATCACGACACTCTGCTCGCACAGCAGGAAGGCATAAGCTTTTACAAACATACAAACAATCTGAGCAGAGATGACAAATGCTTCAGATAACAGCCTGAAGACAAAACCAGATTGCTCAGATGTATAGATATCGATTGTAGCAGATTATCACTCACTGCTTTACCCAGGAATACTGAAGTCAGTTGCCAAAAAAACAAACAAACAAACAAAAAAAACAGCATAGTGTGAACAAGCTGTGAATTTAAGGAATTTAAGATACCTTTGGGAGGAAAATAGGATTTGCTCTCAGCTTTGTGAGGCCAGTCCACAAACAGGTGTCCAAAGCGTCTGAAACTGGCTGTTATCTCATCTGAAATGAAAAAATAATAATAATGCATCCTCATCGTCAGCCCATAGCTTTTTCAAAGAAAACACCAGGGGAGATTTAGAGCAGAGGCCCTGCTCAGATTTCACAGTAAATTACAGGGGGGTGTACTGTAAGAAGCCCTGTGTGTTTCAGGCATGATTGCTTTATTTATTTATTTTTAACTTTTTACATTTTCCCTCAAGTTCCCTCGTTCTAAGTTTGATTACATAAAAGGCTAAAAGTAACCCAGGAATTCAATCCTTTTGATATTAATTATGTTACTACTGCACCTTCATCTATATCTGGGGGCAGTCCTCCAACAAAGACTTTGCGCGAGTAGCGTTCCACGCGCTCTCCGTTCTGGTGCGGAAAGCAGTGTGGGGAACCTAGGCCTGCGAGACCCTGGTCTCCACGTTCATCATCAGGGAAACCATCCTCTATGGGGAAGAGAGAAGAGTGGCCTGAGAAAGAAGAAGAAGGTGGAAAAGATTTATCTTTTGAAGAGAAAACTAGACATTTGTTTTGTTTTTTTTAAAGAAAACAGTAAATCATGGTAATGGCACTACAATAAAGATGGCCGTAAATGAGCACTTTAATTTCATCCCTTTGTCTATCTGACCTCAATTCCTACTACTTTAATTTTCTTGATCTAACAACAGTAAACAAACCATTAACCTTTTTATCTTACTTACTAAAATATAACTATTTGATTCAAATTGGAAGAGAATCAGTTAAACATGTGCACGCAGAATGGAGATATTAGAGCCTGAAAGGACCACATCACAGTCTGACCGAATTAAATGTCCTTGATGTGTTGTTCTTTATTCCTAATTAGCTTCCATGAATCACACATGGAACTGTGCTGCCTGTGAACATAAAGGTTATCGCGCACACATTAGTCCCATCAGTGAGAAAGTATAAACACTTTCAGAGTGCACTGTGTGTGGTAAAGGTTAAGCTCTCCCTGCTCTATCCCTGCTCCTATACAACCTGCCCTGAGCTGCTTTATGAAGATTTATGAAGATTTATGCAAGGACGTTAGCCTTAACTGACAGTGTGTGTGCCTCGCCATGTGTCGGGCTCCTCTTGCAATGAGTGTAAATCAGGAATTACACTTTGCGCGTCTCCCTGCCTCATTAACTTGTAGCTAAGTGTGACACCGTCTTGTATTGTCTGAGTTAATCTTGCAATATGCAAGCAAAGATGGAGAAAAGCGAGCAGAGTGAAGCATAATGAGAGAAACAAAAACTTGAGGATAAAAGATGCACAAGATCACTTGACGACAAGTAACAAGGCTCGACACTAAAGACAATCATGCAGACAAACTCGTCACATCACTGCACGTATAAAAAAGAAAAAAGAAAACAAGTTTAAAAAAAAAAGCACAGGGCCATTCCAAAACTAAATGCACGTGCCCGTTAATGTAACAACAAACAAGCAGACCACAGTCAATAAAATCATAACACTGCTTAACATTACAAGATTAGTTAAACACTGAGGCTTATAGGGCGGGAAAATATGCTGAAAACAAGACATGATGTATTTGTGATTGCATTTTACCTCGTCTCCTGCTATAATTCCTGGCTGCATGTGGAATAAGGACAAATCAAAGAAGAGGATGTTCACAAAAGTCCCATAATACACATAATACCAATAAAAGTGCCAGGTGGTGCACGACAATGGAGAGACGACCCACTTTCAGCCTGCGGGCCCTTGATTTTATTAATCACCGATGAATCATAAACACCCTGTGGTTTTGTCAGCACACCGACTATCAAGCAGGTTTTTGTTTTGTGCTTTTTAATTGTGGAACTGTGCATTTTGAAAGGTTGCAGACAATCATTTTAAACTTGCTGTATTTTTTATAAAGGACACTTTATATAGACACGCTGTAAAGGTCACCTCGCTATTAATATAGCACTTTCAAAATAAAATGCTGACTCATTATGAGAAGGGGATAAAGGAGACAATCTAAAGGCGCACAGCTAAAAAAGGACATCTCAGTTCAACAGCAAAACATTTCTGTAATTCAATACAAGCCCTGGGATAACCTTTAACAAAGAAACTGAAGGATAACATGAAGTGTTACGCTACATGTATGGATGCTCTGAATAGGAATATTGACAGAAATGGCAGAAAAATTGAAACTTGAAAGTGAAGCACATCAGGAACATCTATCAAAAATCAAATGAAGCCTTCAATTAAAAGAGGGGAAGAAAATGAAAGAGGAGGAAGGAGGAAAAAGAAAATAATAAAAGCATGAATAGAAACCAGTTTCGGAACAACTGCAGCTTTGTGTGAAGTTAAGTGCCAGATATAATTATATGTTCAATGCCAGCCAAACAGCCGTGTGAATTATCCAGTTCACCTAGCTTGACTGCAAAGTACCAAAATTAAGCAAGTCTGCATAATTATGCAAACGGAAAGACAATGACGAAGACTTGATCCCAGGGCTGAACCTTAAACTGGATTTCAGGTCTAATTTAGCAAGACCTATAGCTAACAGCAAATGTGCTTTAAAACTGTAGGTCATATTTGACCTGCATGTGTGCTCCACACAGCATGAACCTGCAAACAGCATGGCAGAGTGAGTTGGTTACTTTGCTGGGAAGTTACAGCCTTTTGCCTGCAGCTCTTTGTCTAATGGTTCACAGTGGCTGCTCCTGCTTGTTTCATTACTCCCTGCAATATTTCAAACCCATCTGTTATCCAAAATAAAATAAAAATAAAAAAAACATCACAGTGAATAATGGCATTAAGATACAAGTTCACTGATAAATGCACTGCACTTCCTGTGTGACTCTTTCATAATAAAAGTCAATTTACAACCTTTTTTTTCTTCATTGAGCTGAAGAAAATGTTAGTTTGCACTAGAATGTTTTCCAGGAATGTAATGCTGCAAATAGATAAATATTGCCTTAGGCTCAATAAGTGTAAAAGATGTTTATTTATTTAAAAAATAAAATAAAATTGAGACCTCTACTATAAGCATGACCTCAGTAATTTAGTGACTAAATCTGAACTCTCCAAGACATCAAATGCATCACTGAAGGTCAAGCAGCACTACCCCTGACAACAGCAGTTTCAATCTAGCCTCATTAGCAGAAAGAAAATGTATCCAGTGTGTCATTATCCAAACTTTTCCCAGGGCAGTGGTTTCTCTGATGCTGACATCATTGCGGGGGGGGGGGCGACCACTATACTGGCCTTGAGCTAAAGTGACAAATGTTCAAATGTGCACACTGGAGTGAACCAGGCCTCAACCCATGTAAAAGAGCAACATGGAGAAGAGCGCATGAGCAACAATCCTGGCCTCCCTCAGTGGATTTTCCAACCCAGATGGACATCAACCGGGGGGGGGGCTACAAAGGCTAGCAATAGAGCCCAAGAGAGTCAAGAAAGCAGACTAAAAGGAAGCACACAGAGCTATAAGAAGTGCGTGAACAGGAGAAAAAGAAAAAATGGTCAAAGAAAATGAAAGGGTGAAAGAACAGGAGATAGGAATGCAATCTTTGTGTTCTTATGATGTGGGGGTAGAGGGATGGAAGGGAGGGTTTGGCTAGTGTGCATCCTCTATCTGCTGCCTATCCGCTGGCACCATCTGTCTCGGGGCTTGATGACAGCTCCTGATCATGTGATCTTGCCATGTGACTCGGCAATCTTTTGAAGAAACTGCTGGCCTTTCATGTTTTACATCCTAGCCCCAAGCCCAGAAGCAAAAAGCTAAAAGGACAATAAAGGAAACTGTAACGTACAAGGGCAAAGTAGAAGCCACTAAATTCCACATATCATGTGGACATGAATGGTTTGGTTTTTTCCTACCCGCTGAGGAAAGAAATAAAGTATAAAGCCAATTCTAATTTCGAGCTCCATATCTTATTTTTGAGAAGCACCAGGATTAAAGAATGCATTTAAAAGCAAAACAAACATAAGATGAAAGAGCCTCCTTAAGAAGCATGAGAACAGCAAAGAGGTTCATCTTTAGTGTAACTACCTATCAAACTATTTCTGGTATTTAGCAAATTATTCAAACCAAAGGCAGTTTCCCTTTCATTGCTGCTTTCTATCCACTTATTAAAGAGTGGTGAAAAAACACCATTTCGCTCCCTCCACTTGTCCACATTTCTCAATACATTCTTTACCTCTTGGCTTTGGGGACTAAGCAATCTCAACAGTAACAGGTAGAAAGGGAAGAGCCCCACATTAGTTTCAAGCTAGGAGAAAGGGCACAAAAATATATGCTTGTTAGTTTAATTTCAAGCAGGCATGTGGGGATGTGCTTGTATTTAACTTCAGGTAAGACGAACAGAAAGATCTGCATCTCCACCTGCTATATTTAGCCTACCTCCCTCCTTTAAGATGTGCACTCTTCTCCAAGAATCTGACGGCATCTAAACACCCTACCTTTGTGTCTGCATAAATATCGTGGCTACTTCCTCTAAGAGTCACAATGGCACTCTTACCAACAAGTTTTTAACTGAAACCAGTCACACTAATGGTTACACACTCAAGATTACAACTGCACAAGTGTCTTGTGTCTAACTAACTCATTTTCCAATCATAAAATATGTATTCCTGCTTCTCTCAGTCTATCAGGGAGATCGCCTACTTTCTGATCCTGCATGCAAGGGGCAGGAGCAGCTGCTGCAATGAACAGTACACAGACAGAAACACCGCTCTTAGCAACAACAGCGGCAAACAACTAAACCTTCAAGTGCGGTTACGCTTCGCTAGAGTCGATACAATACAGGCATGCCATCACTCTCTCCCTCCATCATGGCACTGGCTGGGAAGCTATGAGGGACGTTAATGGAAAAGCATCCCATGTCTGAATGAGAGATTACTGCCATTTCCTCAGACTGATGAAGCCCACCTTGTTACGTCTCCAAAAAACCATCTGAAACATCTGACTCTTCTTCACGTCGATCTACTGTCCACTTGTCCATTTTAACTTATTGGGCGTTTTTAAGCGATAAAGGCACTTTTTTTAATTAAATAAATAAATAAATAAAATGAATTTTATTGCAATAAATAAATTCATCAGAGATATCAGCATTTTATGATTTAATTTTTTAATTAGTTTGTTATTGCCCAGTTTGTCATTTTAGCAGACTCTTGAGTGTTTAGGTTACCATACGTACCATTGAGGGGAAGAGGGTTGTCCCCTCCTGGGTGAGGAAAACCAAGACGACCTACATAGGGAAACACAACAAAAAAATCTTTTGTTATATCATATAAACCTTCCTATAAAGCTATTATTATATTTTCACTGACCAGTTGAAAGAAAAATCTGTATTTTATTAAGAATATGAAAGATATAGTAATAAAATGGCTGTCACTAATGCGATGTCTGCCCTCCACACCAGCTACAGCCAGCTAAAAACAATGTGAGGCAAGACAGCACCACTAACACTATCAATCAGTACTTTGTATTTGGAAAAGGGCTGTTACCATAATAATCCTCTTGACAATTACAGCAGTGCACTAATTAAATTGCCGAGGGGCACTATTTGATCTATTCTGCGCATAATATAGGAACAGTTGGTGACTTTACTTTGTTATAAGTTTTTTTAAAGTGTTAATCCAGAGCAGGCTTTAGCTGGGACAGCTATGATCACAACCTTTGTTACCGCTCGCTGCATGTTTCTCCTACATCTATGGGACATCAACTCTCTTTCCCTCTTATCACCTCGTTATTCTCCAAGCCTCATGCTATAGATTTTAGCCATTTGCCAAGACCCTCTTGCATATGCACACACCCGCGCCTACACAAACATGTTATGATTCCAAACAAGCTTCGAAGTTATGCAAGGCCCACTTGCTGCAGAGGGATAATGACATGAAAGAGCTCAAATAGTACGACCATTGTTGAGTGGGTAATGAGTGCCCTGTGATTGGTGCATTCCAACGCCTTGGTCACATGGAAATGTTTTGGCTCCTCCCCCCATAGTTTGCCTAGAACTATGGGGGGGAACAGAAAAAAAACAGAACCCCGACTCACAGAGCAGAGAAACCAGGACAGACCACCTGCAGCTTTGAAACACGCCGCTCGATGATAATATTCGACTGTGTAGCGCACCCATCATCATTATCTGAATAAAAATGCAATAAAATGAGTTCAGTTTAATCAAAATAAGCTCAAAGGTGGCAACCAAACCAAACTAAAATCCTCTGGACTACAATTCAGACCATAGTGATGTGATGACACTAAGGTAAAAGTCCATCTGAGCACCACCTGCTATTCTGAATTTTAAAGGGCTATAATGGTCTCCGAGGATCACACGAGTAGGCACCATATCCCTGTGTGTCTGCAGGACTGTGCATGCCCGCTCTGTGAACCTGATTTGCATGCTCCTGGCTACATGTGAGTACAGTACTGTAACAGTTAAAGCACATGCATGCAGAGCACACAAAAGACGGGTGGGGGTGTGTGTGTGTGTGCATGCATGGGGCGGGTGAACAGAGGGATCCTTTCTGTCAGTCAGGACAATGCTGGAAGGGATTCAAAGCTCCTTGTACTGTAGACATTTTGTCTCGCCCGCTCCCTTGCTTCATTGCTCTCACTTTGTTCAATATGTTAAGCCGGAATGAGAAATTGCTGCCCTGCTTATCTGCATCTAAATGTGCTTGTGTATGAATTCTGCCAGTTTGTTATGTAGATGCATGTATGCATGTGACGGAGAGAAAGAGCAAAAACTGGCCCGGAGAAGAGTCGCTGTAATTATAATATAATATTTGTTATGCATCAAATTATTGTCTAAAATTATTTACTTTTTGTCATCTTTCTTCAGACAAGCTTTGCAGACAACGTAAAAATGTAAACATACCTGACCACACAGAAAAAGGTTCTGAGAATGCCACTGAGCTAATATTAGCATCAACGAAGCAGAGAACATCTACTTTACATGTATTATAGGATGTATACATATCATATTCTATCATATTTATAGGAAGTTGGGCTTACTTTGCCTTAAAAATCACTTCTGCAAACCAGACTATGCAGTATTTTGAAATTGTGATGAAGTTATGTAAAGCAGAAGCTTTGTGGTTTTTAGAAGAGAATTTTGACTTCTCTTCCTGTGTTTTCTTGGATCCATCAGTGGAGCTAAAGCACCAAAACATGTTTAATGAGGCAGACTTCTAGTTTTCTTCTGCTGATACTGAAGAAACATTTACTAAGATTTGACAGCACAACATTATACCGCCACTGAGCCCGATAGGTCCGAGGTTTAAAGAAGTGATCTTACTGTAGCATCCCATACTTAAAAATTTCTTTAAAACTTTTATTTTGTATTTATTCTGCTAATAAACTGATGTGTATAGTAAACGTTTTTATGGAACATAAAGCTATGCATATATTACGCACGACATCGCTCCCATTTAGAGATTTTTTATACCACATTTTTACCTCATAAGAAGACTCAATTTCTGGTCCTTGACTTAAAACTTGTACAACCTAACAAAAACAACATAATCATTATCTAAGTCCTCTGTCCTATTAAACTACTATCAAATATAACAGACAACTTTAACTGTATAGTTAGTTACCTTTTACACTCAGCCTAAGCCTTGAGAAATCAAATGTGCTTCCTTTCAAACAATGATCATTACTAAGAACTTCAGCTCTATCCTCTTAGCCAACACTCACTATTGGCCACTGACTAACTTTTCTGTAGTCAGATTATTTCTGTGAGCGTCACCCTTTAAACCAATGATCATTGGACTCCTGTAGAATTAATTTAATATCCAATTTCTGGGTTATGATAACCGGTCAGCAGCACTGTTTGCTATCAAATAAATGTTTCCTTTTAATGCTAAGACCAATACTGTATGTTAAAAAGTATCATTGTTCTCGGCAACGTCTACACCAACATGTTAAAAAATTAGCATGCAACTTCTTCAAACTTTTTGGACCAAAACTATTTCACAACACTATTTTGTATGAAAAGCTTAGCAGCAGCGATCATTAGAAAACAACGACAGTGTCAGTTCAGTTCAGCGAGGGCTCTTCCATCTCTCATAATTCCCATTTAAATAAAGCCTAAGCCCTCATGAATCTCTCTGCTTCTTAAAATTCATGAGAAAGAGGTTATACCTATTGCACCATGCTCAGCTATCCTTCAGTTCAGTTTGTACACTGTGTTTTTAAATCTGGGATGCCACGGACGTAGCTTTGATTGAAGCAAGCAAGTAATTTATTTATATAGCACTTTCAGATCAGCCCCCAGTTGAACACAAAGTGCTGTACACTTGACATGCCAGAAATGATACATTGAACATGTTAAAAAATAAGAAATTAATTAATTAATTAATTAAAAATAATAATAATGATTATTAAAATGACATTTAAAATAATAAAATTAGCACAAATAGCAAAAACAATAATAAAATAGTATAAAAATGATGATGAGAATTACATTTAAAACAACTGACACTATTTATCTTATGGTTCTTTTTGCATTGCCCCTCAGTTCATCACTGTTTCTATGAAACAAGCTCACTTAAATGGACCCCTCTTCCTAAAGGCTCACTTTATGCTGATCGGCAGTCTTTGTGGAAAAAGTAGATGGTCATCTGTCAATATAAAAACCATCAGATTCAAAACAATAGTGGGTAAAAGTGCTTTTGAAAACTGCAACTTGTGGACACCACAAATATGTGCAGCAACGATGGCTACGGCTGGGCGTCTGTGTTTTCTAAATATTAAATTCATTAACTCCTTATTGTGTTATATAACAGTGGAAAAGTAGGTCAGTCAACTATTGCTATACAGGTCCATGGGAATCAACTTGCATAAGAAAACGCTAACTGACGTGGAAAACATCTGCCATCAGGGAATACCATATGTAACACAGCAAGTAGAATATTAACAGCTGCACAGGAAAGGCACCTCTCTGATGCAGTTTTATGCATGCTTCGAATCACACTGAGAGCATTTCAAAAGGTTTAGTCTTTTATTTTTGATAAATGACCAGATTCTCTATGTCATTTACATGTGTGATTTTGTCTCCTCCTGACCTGCTCTGTACAGCCTGATATGGCTTCCAAGCAAAAACAGACTATTAGACACAGTTTCAAGCAATGCTGTGTGTAGAGCTGCTTGTGAAATCCACTGCCGTCAGCTCTGGCATAAGCCAGAATGCAACATAGTCTCACCCAGCTGCATTTGTCGCACCCAGAATAATCGCATATATGGATATGACAGAAAATGTCAAGAAGAAGAATAGAAGCCACAAGAAGAATTTTGTTTTTGTTTGTCTTGGTTTGTGTTTTTTATGATGAGTGGGAAGAAGAAAGAAGGAAAAGGAAGACAGAGGTGTGAGCTGACTGCTACACACTGTGGCCTTTCATAATATCGCCGATGATAGCACAAAAAGAAGACAAAGCCTCTACATGGCTGACCTGTGGAGGAGGTGAAACCTCTCTGCTAAAAACTGAGGCGTTAACTGATAAATTATTGTGTGTGAGCTGTTGTTCCTTTGTGCGGCCAAATAAGCTACAATCCATAACAAAGACAAGTGTTTAAAGGTAAAGCCTGCTTGCACATTAACATTTTTTTCCTCTTGTATTGCACACCTTATATGAGGAAAACTGCCAAATGCAAAATAACGAGTGTACTGCAAAGTGTTTGCATGTTATATTGTGAAACTCATTTTCAGCGAGGTCAGTTGACATGCACTGAATAACTATTGCACACCAGCCATTTACTGGACAAATAATGACAAGATCAGTATCATAGTATGTGTGCCATCTGTGGGAAAATATGATGCATCTAAAGATAAAGGTCCATACAACTACCTCCAGCGCATCACAGGTTTTCTAAAAATACAGACATGCTAAATGGGAAGCATACACTTTCAGCATATACACTCATTTCCTGTACCGAATCCATAGTAAAAAAAAAAAATTCCCTGCCTATAGAATAGGGAAAAATGTATGGTTGCTGGAAGTTGTAGGCTGATGCTGGGAGACATCTGTCGCACCAAAAACCTCCTCATTGGTCACAAACAGATTGAGACATATTGCCGCAACCGACACATTTCAAAAGGCGAAACCTTTATGCTGGAGACTCACTTTTTGCTAGCGACTGGTGGTTGTCAGACATTCACCAACCAGTGTCTAGGCCTGTGTGACTACAGCCTTCTATGAAAAAACAGCTCTGCTGTTAACGCAATGTCAAATTAAAAACAGAAAAAAGGAAAAAAAAATGCTGCTGGTCTGCTTAGTGTTTCATGATCTTGATTGACAACTGGCATCTTTACCTTTCAGACTGTCCTGCTCAGCTCTCATGATGTCAATCAGGGAGCTCTCCAGAGTGTTCATGTTGAAGCTGTCAAATGACCTGGTGCGCTCCTAAACAGAGGAGAGAAAAAAGAAACACTGTGTCACATTTTTAGCCTGCTTCAAAGACATGCAGTTAACACAACTATAAAAAGAAATGTGGTAACCAATGGTGTTAATTGTTAAAGCGGAGCAATGAAGAAATTGCCTTATTAATGCGACAATGACTTGGTTAATATCTAAGCTTGCCAAAGACTGTCTTGCCACAAGACAGACATGTTCACTCTTAACTTAGAAAATTTACACAATGGTGAAAACTTCCTGCAATACTTAAAGACTTTTGACCAAAAAGAGTTAAAAAAGGGGAACAGTCACATGCTTTCCTGTTTCTTCTCACCTCACTTGAGCTTGTTTCAAAGAAAAGACTTGACAGAAAGCTTTGTTTCTCTCAATGTGAGAGACTGTACAGGTACACATTGACTTAGTATTGGTTTAAATCGTTTTAAAAGTAAGAAATGAGAAATAAAAAAAGTTATAGCATTTTCTTGGCTCACGTTGTGTTCAGCTTTATTGTGTGGGTCCAGAAGGACTCATCCCAAAGTAGCTTAAAAATTATCTGTGGGTGTGTATCTACCAATGGGAAGAAGAATTAAATGTTGTTCTTTTCTTTTATTAAATCTAGTTTTTGCTCTCAGCAGTTGATTTCTCTCATCTTATAAGATGCTGTTATGTGCTTAATTACTATGTGTTTAATTCAACCCTAATTTCTTTTCTTGCATGTTTTTGTGTGCTTTTCCTGCTGTGCAACTTGCAAAGTAAACACAAGCAATAAACAGACTCGTTCAATGAGGCAACATAATGAAAGTCAAGAGAAAAACAAGCAGTCAAATGGAGCATGAGCCAAGCAAATTCCTGGGCAAAAGCTTCGTCACCTACAACAAGGGCATCCTTGGCATATCAGCCAGCCACACCGGATATAATTGTATGCACACACAAATACATGTTAACACGCACACACCCATATGATGTGTATATACAAAATATTCTCACACTAAAAACATGTACCCATAAACAAACACACACACTCCAAGTGGCATGCTGATAAGGTTTCAGTGCAGACTCCACCTCAGCCAGACAAAATATGCAGTCTTAGTCAACAACTTCTAAAGAAAGTGATCAACTCTTTGGGTTTCCCTTCCTCTGAAAGAACCAAAAGTTAAATATGAAATAATTATTATTCGCATCTCGCTTTTCAATGTCTCATTGCTTCCTTCCTCCTCCACCATTTTCCAAGCCATTCTCTAACAAATACCAACTTCAAAAGTAGAAATGCCTTAAAAAAACCTTTTATATTCCTCATGCATGTGTCAGAGATCTCATACTTGACAAAGGCAGCAATTGTTCTAGCTAGAAGTTGTTGTTCATAGGCTGTACCCTATGACTAAAAAGTTTAGTCATGTTTATTCTCTCAAAACTTGGTCACGACTGAATATGCATGTCCAACTTTCAGTTTGGTATCTAGTCCATCGACTACTTGATTATTTAAGGGATTTTTTAAATGAGAAACAATCTCCAACTAATTTGTAGAGCGGCACTCAAAGAAAATCAACCGTTAGCATTTTGTGTAAATATGTAAAAACATAAAATAGATTATTACAATTTAACAAAAAAAAAAAAAAAAAAGACAGGAGAAGGAATGGCTGCCTAACTACTAACTGTCATGCTTCTAAAATAACAATGCCAGAACACACCTGATGTGTTCAGGTTTAACGCTGTAAAAACATCCACATAGAAGCAATTGAACCTGACAGGATGATTGACAGATCAGACTTCCAAACCATGTCAGCAACGCAGTGTTAAAATAACAAAAGCATCAGTGTGAAACAATGTGGCCTGTTTCTTTTTAAACCTAATCGGCGGACAGTTCAGATGAAATGTGCAAAACTAAATCCAAATTTAAAAACTATAAGCAAAGTAAGCAGTAAACTCATACAGTTCAGGTGTAGCAACAGTTCGAATGTTGGTCAGAAAACTTCTGCCTCGAGAAAAACGGAAGAGAAAAGTGTTAAATAACTGAAATAAAGCATGACACAGAAACAAGTTCACCGTTTCAGACAAAACAGAGAAAACATCCTGACAACAACACTACATAGTCAGCTCTGCCCTGGGCCTGACTGATAATGGGCAGAGAATTACCCATCATGTCACTAAGGCTGCATTATCAGTCACTCTTTAAATTTACTGTGTTGTTTCTTCAGCAGCAGCTATGCAAAGATCTCTGTTGTTAAACCAGCAACCAATTCAAAGCCTAACGGCAAACTGCAGGCAGTGTCAGAAAAGACTAAGAAATGTTCATTGTCCTTTGTGTTACCATGCTAACAGGCTCAGAAGAAACGCACCTATCCAAGTGAACTACACTTCAAGGGTTGACTAGGAGGGCAACACACTTTTTCTCTTTTTCCTCATTAATCTACTGTCCGGTGTCTGGAGTTGTTCACCAAAATTCAATATCTACTATCTGATCGGCTTGAAGAGCGTGGTTGGGTATCTGGCACACTTGGCTGGTAAAACAGCCAAACTTCCCAGCTGTAGCCAAATTTCTTACCAGCATTTGAGCTGACTACAACAGAAACAACACTGTGGCAGAACACACCCAATGCACTAACTCTCTCTCCCTCAAAACAAATATCAACATGGGGATACAGGCCAGATTGTGTCCACCATTTTCTCATATCCGCTTCAGTATAATATGTGCACTTGCGCTATTGCCTAAGGACAAATAAGTCAAACACTCCAAGGCAAGGGAAGCAGAAACAGAGTCCAGGTTTGGTTTCTGCCTTAAGTATACAAGGGTAATGAGTATATTCCAACATGACGACAAATGCATACAAATAGGAAGCGGACAATGCTGTACGCATTTTTGGATTCGCACGCTTTGTGGCATCAGTTTATTTACCATCATATGTGGGCGGTGTAGTATGACAGGGTAATTCTATTATACTGTTTCTGGATAATACAAATTCATTTTGTGGCTGAGATGGACTCAGTATGGCGGACTTGAGGCCTGGCTGGTTCTCTGCAGTTGCTAAGCATTAGCCTGGAGAGTGATTAATCATCACATTTCTGCATCTCACTCGCTCTCAACAACTGGCCAGCTGTCCAGCAAAGAGCTTATCCCTGACAGATTGCAAGCATGCACAGATGCACGCACATTAGCCACAAGCAAGAAAAATGACGGTTTATATGGTAGTTCTTGTAATCTATGAACACGGCCTAATGCATTCACTTAAATTTACATGCAGCCCATTCACACTGCAAAATCATCTCTTGCAGAAACGTGTAACCCTGAAGCAGTCTATTTGAAGCTGATAATGTAAACAGTGACAGTGCAGGGTTTTTTCCTTTTACTATGCATGATAGGTGTGAATTGTTGGTTGTATGCAGCAAGGCAACCTTACTCTACCAGGCCCCGTGCCATTTGCTGTTTGTTTGACACTGAATTAAAAACTATGCACCAAACTAATCATTTAAAATTTTTGGACTATTATCCAGAATAAGGATTATGGAACACACAAAAATGGGCTTATTATTTATTATTCCATTACAATTACCTCTCAGATAATTTGACTTTTTCAGCCAGTAATTCTTATCAATCTAAAATTAATAATGAATTCTTTTTTTCCCCCTTTTCTTTCTTTTTTTGTTTAAATTGGGACCTATGCATTGTCTAAGAAGCTTATTTGAAATGCTTGACAAAAGCGTACTGGGTCACATGATCAGAAATTGGTTCATCTGTCATTCAATCTATGGTTCATTAAATTATGATATGGGTTAGCTTTACAACCAGTGCATAAAGTGCTGCACACAGCACACACTAGTTGCTTAACACTGACTGAAAAAGTAGTCTAGGTAGATCTGGGCTTTGCCATTCTGGGCTCCCTGGTATATTTACACAGAGTCAATTCCAATCAATTTTAGACATCTATAAAAAACAATGTCTATTTTTGACAGGAGATATTTATTTGGACAGGAGAGCCTATCATCGGCTCCGTCTATAACAGAGACCACCGACAACACGCTGCCTTTAATATCATAAAAGCTCAAGTCAAGCATGTTTGGAAAAAAACAAAAAAGCAAACAAAACCAGGGCTGGGCCTGGCTACCACTGTGCGACTGCTCCCTCTAAACAGAATCTAATCTTTAGCAGCACCAAACTGAGCAACCTCCAACAGATTTTCATGGCATGTAGAGTCATCAAAGAATGATTAAATCCAACATGCTGTGGGTGATTAACTCTCAACATTAATCATCAATGTCATCTGGCTGTTAAGATAAAATGGAAGCTGTGGCAGGGTAAAGGGATGCACAACATAAAGGCAAAAAAAGAGTAAGGATACACTGGCGATGTGTAATTTGTCAGGGCTGTAGAATTTGCAGGTTATTTAATAGTTCGCTTATATTCAATTGTCAGAAGGTTGAGCTTTTAATTACATCCCTGAGATTTGTAAAAGATAGAAAGGCCAAAGAAGGAAGGTAGATACAGCTGTTAAAGAAAGGGGAGAGCAAAAGTGAATAGTGAGGTAATTCATCATAAAAAGAGGAAAAATGTAGTACAGGAAAGGGAAACAAGTTGTTCTTTTGACGCTTGTGATTATTTAATTATCACAAAATAAATATAAAGTTGACAAAACTCATTCCATCCATGTTTTGACAGGCAACACAAAAGTCCAATGACAATGAGAATAGCAGAGTTTGAGCCATATCAGGTTAACGTGACCTGCAAAGCTTAGAAAGAGCAGCAGGTAGTGGCACATGCGCTAATGTCTGGGCTCCTGCAACCACGTACAGTAGAACGTCAGGAGTATGAGCAAGCTAAAGGACAAAATGACACCAGAAAATGTTAACGAAAACTCATGCATTACAGAGCACGACACCCCAGAGGACACAGTCCAAGGCTCAGAAGACTGGGACAGAACGGTTTGAATCAACAGAAAAGTATCGATGCCATTTTTAGTGATTTATTTTCCATTCTTAAACGTGGATCCATTTTATTTATTTGGAACTAACCAAAG